GTCGACCGGATGCAATCTTCAACTTTCTAGTGTTTTCCTGCCTCTGGTTTCTTTGTCACACGAGTTGACCTTTTGAAATAGATTAAAAAAAAAACAAAACATTTATTTACTTATTTAAAGTCAGAGTTATAGACACTGAACAGGAGATAGAAATACAGCTCTTCTGTCTGCTGTGTCACTGCCCCAGTGCCCACAGTGGCCAAGGCTGAGACAGGCTGAAGCCAGGAGCCAGGGAGCTGCATCTGGCTCTCCCACTTGGGAGGCAGGGCACCAACTACTGGGGCCATCCCCTGTGGCTCTTCCAGCTGCATTAGCAGGGAGCAGCCGGGACTTGAGCTGGCACCCATGAGTGGGATGCTGGGATTGAAAGGGCCTTACCTACTATGCCACAATGCCAGCCCTTATTGAGACAGATTTGGGGTTTTGGTATGAGGCTGGAGTCTTAGTTCAAGTCCCCCACCCCATCCCTAAACTCCACCCCCAGACCACTTCTCCCAATAATCAGTATTCTCAGTCTCATTTGCAATACAATTCACCTTCCCAAAGGCAGAATCAGCTGACCTGACCATGGGAACCACTCTGAGTGGGTGCTCTGCGCTGTGAACGGCAGCGCCCCCAGCAGGCAGTGGGAGCACTGCTGGGGGCCAGCGCCCTCCTTCCCCTAGAGGGCCAGGCCTGCCCAAATCAGCGCCTGGACTTGCCAGACACATCTGGTGACTCTCACCTTGGCATCTGCACAAGGCTTCCTGAGGCCCCTCAGCACACCACTCCCCGACCTTTGCCCCGTCTGTGGTACACACCTGCCACACACCAGCAGCAGCGAGACTCAGTAAACGGGCCAGTGGGAGGACCAGAGAGCCAGAGCCATCAGCCCTGTCCATGCCCAGCCCTTGCTGTGGCCTTGGCTCTACTCACAGAGTCCCTCCTTCACCTCAGGGACTCCCTTCCTTGCCAGGAGGCCTCCTCTGTGGTGAAACTTACCAGGGCTCCAACAGCTGCAATTCCGGGGGCCTGGGTCTCTGCCCAGGGGCCTGCATTGCTGGGGCCACGTGGAGAGCGTCGCCCGGGGAGGTGGGGGAGCGGGAGGGTCTGCTCTCCTGAGTGTAGGTAACCATGAGCCACGACCCCCATCCTGGTGGGGTGGGGGCGGGGGGAAGGCAGGGCAAGCAGCAGAGAAGGCAAAAACAAGTGTGGAGGCAGGCAGGCCAGACACTGGGGAGGCTGCAACCCTGCCCTGGTGCAGAGGGCACGGGTGCAAATCCATCACTGCTCCTGCAAGTTGGGTGGAGTCCTCAGCGCTGGGGCAATCCGGAGGAGCGGGCAAGATGCTTTAGGAAGGAGCAGCAAGCCCACGGGTGCAGCTGGTGTTTCAGAGATGAGGACACTGGGACGCAAGAAGCAAATGTGGCGCTCGGCTCTCCTGCCCTCCTTCGGCTGCTGGGGACTCATCCACGCCGCCCCACCCCTTGGCCGGCTCCCTGGGTGTGGGGAGTAGAGCTCTACAGGGGTGCTCCCTGAAGGATGACCCCACAGCCTGCCCCACAGACACACTGCCAGGATGGCTCGGTACGGGCTCCTCCCAGCCACGGTGCAGACGACCAGCCTGCCATGGCAGCACCAAAGCCCAGTTGGACCACAGTTGGGAGGTGAGCCCAGCAGCCCTCACATGACATCCCAGAAACAACTGCTCAGCTATTCCAAATGGGGTGCCACTTGATAGGCAGCAGTCCCAACAGGAGGCTCTAACAGTTGGGGTGTCAGGGTCAGGGGTGGGAGGGTAAGATCTGGGTTTAAGCCCTGGGTCAATTCCTTACCGTGTATAAGAACTAAGGTGAATTGAGTTATCCACCTAGAATTGCTGGCACAGATAGATGAAAGGTCTGTGAGGAGGGACCATCAGTACTGCAGCAGGACATGTTTTTAACCCAGAAGCAAGGGGCTGCCATTGTGGCACAGAAGATTGAACCGCTGCCCGTGACATGGGCATTTCATAGGGGAGTGTGTGTATGTCCCAGCTGCTCTGCTTCTTCTCCGGCTCCCCGTTCCTGAGCCTGGGAAAGCAGTGCTTGGGCCCCTGTGGCAGACCCAGATGCAGCTCCTGGCTCCTGGCTTCCGCCTGGTCACTGTGGCTTTTTAGGAGTGACCCGGTAGATCTGCCTCAATTTCCATTTCTCCCTCTCTTGTGCAGCTCTGACTCTCCATTATCACTCTCTCTTTTCTTAAAAACAAAACAAAACAAAAAACTTTGGTGTTGAAAAGGCCGAACTAGAGAGGAGAGACAGATCTTCCATCCACTGGCTCACTCCCCAGATGGCCGCAGTGGCCAGGGCTGGGCCAGGCCAAAGCCACCAGTCAGGAGCCAGGAACGCCCTCGGGGTCTCCCACATGGATGCAGGGTGCAAGCACTTGGTCCATTTGCCGCTGCTTTCCCAGGTGCGTTAGCAGGGAGCTAGACTGGAAATGAAGCAGCTGGGATTTGAACTGGTACCATATGGATGCTGACACCGCAGGCAGTGGCTCAATCCGCTGTGCAACAACACTGACCCCAATACATCTTAAACAAACAAAACCAAAAATATAGAAACACCATCAAAGGCAACTTAGGAATCCCGGCCCCCAGGAGGGGCTCCACCACTACTGAGACAGACTGGAGGGTGGGCCCTATCCCGTCAGGCGTGAGAAGCTCTGGGTGGAAGCACTTGCCCGGGTGGTTGGGAGTTGCCACCTTCCCACAATGCCCCCAGCCCCAGCGGGTCCCCAGGGTCATGCGCACAAAGCCGGGAGGCTGTGAGGAAGCGCCTTGTACCCAGCCTGGCCACGTGATGTAGGAGTGTCCAATACTCGCCGGATGAGGACAGGGCCACTGCGGGAAGTAAACTGCCCCAGCCACAAGCTTGATGTGTGGAAGCTGGACTTGAATCAGACGGCGGCAGCCTGCAGCTGAACTGGCCCCTCTGCTTATCCCCAACCCCCTCTGCCAAAGCTGCTGGGGAGCAACCCGGTCAGATGTGGGGTCACCCTTGGGCTCCCCAAGAGTGCTGGCACAAGCAGCCAGTGACCCTCAGGTTTTGTCCTCCTGGGCTGGGAGGCCTCCTGTCCCCTCCCTTGCCTTTGGAGCACTTAACCCAATTTGCAAATTGGTTCCATTTGTTATCTTCCCACCAGCCCACGGAGCAGGGAGTCTCCGAGGCCAGCACAAGACAGCACCCTTCATTTTGGTATTCACTGGACCGGCCTGGGCTATCTTTCCCCCCCACTTCTGTCCGGTCAGCACCTGCCACTCGGCCAAAGCCCAGCTCGGCCATGTCCCAGAGGACACCGTTCCCCTGTTCTCACAAGCAGTTAGTAGGCCACGCAGGTGCCAGCATCTCCATCAGGTTCCAAGAACAAGGGGCTTTTAGCTGGCCAAGCTCCTATGGGGACCTTCTCCTGGCATGGGACTCTTCCCCGTAACTCAAGATGCAGGAGAAAGCATCCGGGCGCGCGGGGGGGGGGGGGGGGGGGGTGCGGCGGGGCCAGCTCCCAGCCTGGCAGAGTGGCCCGGGGGAGGGGACCAGCTGGTGGGCCACGCTGGTTTATCGATGCTGCGGAGGATGCAGGGAGCCCTGGGGAAATCAAGGTGAAAGGCTGCAGGCCTGCCGGGGAGGACGCCCACCCGCCTATCAATCAGTGGGCTCGGGACAGGCAGCTGTGTGGAGGGAGCCTGCGTTCGGTCCGGGCACCTCTGGCTCCGCGCGAAGGCGATTTTGGCAAATTCTCAGCTCTGCCCAGTACCCACGGTGTTGATGTGTGTGTGGGTGGGGAGACAGTCCTGAGCATGGGGACTAAGATTCCTTGAGGGACCCACCCTGTGCCCACTCTGCATTGCCTATCTCGGTGTCAGGGTCCAAGTTCACCTTCCTCCCAATTGCAGGTGCTGGGAGGCAGCAGGTCCTCGGGTCCCTTACCTTAGAGACCTGCACCCAGTTCCTGGCCTGAGCACCTTGTGGGTATCTGGGGCAGTCAGTCAGCAGGTGCAAGCACTGTCTCCAACACTCAGCCTCTTAAATTTTATATGTACATAATAGACATATGTACATGTGTATTTTATACATATATAAAATGTGTTTATATAGAAATAAAACACACATATATGTATCTTTTATTCTTAAGACAGTATGGTCACCGGAGGTCCACGGCTTGCTGACAGGAGATCCTCTGCACCTGACATGGGCCACCAAATTGTGGGGAAGAGACGTGCTGGGTGTTCTGGCACACTTGGACACTGGGCCCAGCGTCCCCCGCCTGATCCCTCGCTGCCTGCCAGCCCGCCTGGTGGACCAGCAGGAGGCCGGCAGAGCCAGCCCAGCACTGGGGAGGGAGCAGGCGGGGTGGCTGCTGCAAGAGGCTTTGAGAGGTCAAGTGGAGTGATACGGGCAAAGTGGGCGGGCCCTGCCCCCCCTGCCCAGCATCCCACCCCAGCTGCCCAGAGAGGGAGTGTCCCACCCTCAGCCCCCAGTGCCGAGGCCATCTGAGCAGAGTGAAGAGGTCAGAGAAAACCCCAAATCGGATTGGGGTCCTTGCTCCCCCTTAATGAGGTTCATTATCAGCTGCTCTGATCCTTGTGTAAAACCCAGCAGACCGGATTAGGGGCAGGCTCCGTAATCCGCTGTCTCTTCTCTGCTGCCAGCAGCCAGTCCAGACCTGACCCTCACCCCCCCGACACACACGGAAGACCTGCAGTGGGGTGGGGGCAGGACACCCAGCCCTGGAGGGAGGGGCGGCAGGGGCGGGCCTGCAAGTTCCTCGCAAGGTGTGGGAGCAGAAGCTAGCAGAGTGGGACATTAGCAAGGTGCAAGGGCCGGGCACCAAGAGCTCCGTGCACAGTCGGAGAAGATGCCCCATCCCTCGCCCCCATCGCGGCCAGCACCCTGGTGTGGCTGGATCCCAGCTACTTTGTCCTCACCTGGATAAAAGGTTTCCAAGTAACAGGTTACAAAGCACGCACACTGAAGCTTGCCTTAACAAAAATAATTTATTCCACAGCCCTCCCAAGCAGTGGGGCAGAGCGGGGGCCAAACCTGGGTATAGCCCTGCCCTCACTTTCTCTCCTCAGTGGGAGGTGGAGGCCCGAGAGGGCAGGCACTCCGTTGCTGTCCTCAGCCCACAGCTTCCACATCCAATGTTGGCACTGATTTGGGGACCAAGAGCAAGAGGCGAGACCCAGTGTGGAGGGGCGGACGGAGCCCAGCTGCTGGCTGCCACCTTCTATAGCTGTGGCTTCCTTCTGCCCGGCACCCACGGGGCCCAGAGCAAAGGCACTGCAGATCTCGGCTGTCCCAGGCTGACGCGAGCACCCACCCAGCCAGGCAGGACCACACAGATCCCAACCAACACTCCCTGGAGCAGAGATCAACACCCAAACCTCACCTGGGGGTACCAGCATGGAGGCTTCTAGAAGCCAGCCCCCACTGGGAGGTGTGAGGAACAGGTGCTAAGGCCTTTTCGTGTCTGGAAGGGCACAATGAAGGGTCTACCTGCAGCCTGCCCAGCCCAGGGAACCCTCCTCGGAAAGAGGGGGAACCTTGGAAACCGGGGTCTCAGCTGCCCCCACGGAGGGCCAAGACCAAAGCAGGAGAGATTAAAGCTTCAGCAGAGAATAGGGCAGGACTTCAGAGGAGCTATAGACAGAAGAATCCGGTACGCAGCAGGTGCAGGCGAGGGGTGAGCCTCCCTGGATCCTGCTCTTGTCCTTTGTGCATGGATCTTTCCTTTCCAGCTGACCAGGGCACCCTGCTGCTGGACTCACTGGTTCTCCTGGTCACCCCACGTGGCCTCCTAGGCGGGACCAGGGCTCCACAAGGCAGGAGGGAAGGAAAGGAGAGAGGCAGCGAGAAGACCCCGGCCCCCCAGTCCTGGGCTGGGAGGCTCAGGCTGCAGAGTGGCTGGCGTGGCCCTTCAGGGCCCTCATCCTGGCCCGGAAGAAGCTGTACACGGCCAGCAGGCCCATGAAGGACAGGGAATAGAGCCCCACACACAGGCTGGCATCCAGGTGAGAGAAGCCCCCACCCAGTACCTGCAGCCACTGGCCAGGGGCCCTCCTAGCCCGGGCTGCCACTGCCACCATGGGCTCCTCCTCAGGCATGCCTGCCAGCAGCTTGGCAGCCCCGCGGCCCACGCGCCTCAGCTGCCAGGCACCCTGGGGACCATCCTCATGGGGCTGGGGCCCTGCCAGCAGCACCGCCCCTGTGTCCCGCCTGCTCAGGCGCCGCTGCCGCCCTGGTACAGCCTCCTGCTGCTCTAGCTCCAGCGTGTCTGCCTCAGGCTCATCTGCCTCGGGTCTCTCGGCAGGCACAGTGGTTCCTGGGGCCTCTGACACCTCAGGACTCAGGGTGGAAGAGTTCTGCGTGGTCAGCTCCAGGGCTGCCACCACACCCCGGCGGGGGGCCGACCTAGCCGGAGGGGGGTCCCGGGCAATGTTTCCAGGGGAGAAGTGGCTCTTGAGGAAGTTGAGGGTGGCGCCCACATCCCACACTGGCATCGGGCCCTGGAGTTCATTGTGGCAGGCAGAGCAGAGTTCACGCGGTGGCCATTGCACCTTGGGAAACTGGGGGTCCTCGCTGGGGGCTCCTGATGGGGAGAAAACACATAGGCCGGCTGAGGCACGTCGCAGCTCTCCCTCCTGCCTGCCCATAGCTCAGGGGGAAGCAGGCAACCCTGAGAAAATGCACTGTTCTCACCAGCTAAACGGACAGGACACTTCATAAAACATGAGAATCGCACACACGCCCTTTTGCAGCTAAACGCAGCCTGAGGGTTGGGGTGGGACGCAGTGGCCCCCAGAAGCAGGGGTTGGGGAATCTCTGGCAGGTGTCCTGGGTTCAGGCTGTTGGGATGTCAGGAGGGGTCAGAACATGAGGCTGAGCCCATGTCACCCAGGGAAGACCTTGACCTAATACCCCAGTAGGAAGTACCTCTTGCCCAGGTTCAATGGGGAGAGCGAAACTGGTTAGCACATTGAAGCAGCCCAGAGGGAGGTGTAAGCACAGCGGCTGCCCTGGTGGGGAGGGGCGAGGTGGCAAGGGGCAACAAGTAGATTCCGAGGGTCTAAGAGCGGTCACAGCCACCAGGCCTGGCCTGGCAAGGCAGCGCTAAGTCAGTACTCACTAATTACTCCTGTGATCTCAAAGGGCCCCCTGCTTCCCCACTCCGCCTCGCCAAGCAGGGCGACAGGGAGGGGGCACCGGCTGCTCTGGGCGCCTTGGGGGTTGGACGAAGCTCTTGGTCGTCCAGCTGCAGCTGGGGGCAGCTGGGGTCATGGGGCTGCAGGGTCAAACGGAGCATTTGGTGGCAGGGGCGGGGCGGGAGAAGCAGCCAGGCACGCGCCTTCCTTTCAGAGTCCCGCAGGAGGCCCCAGGAGGCCCTCAGGCGCCTGCACCACCACCTGCTCAGTTCAGCTCCTCCCCCAAGCCGCCCACAGCCACGTGCACACCACTGTCACCACAGATGGCTCCCCCCGCCCGGCCTGCAGGCCTGAGGCTGAGTCGCTTTTGCCTGGTCGTCCCACCCCACTCCTGTGAACCAGAAAAGGGACAACAGAGAGCAGCGGGCCCTGGCATGGGAAAATGAGTGGGCAGTGGCCTAGGAAGACCAGGGTCTTCAAGTGCCAAAGCCTTGCTATCTTCATCCAGAGAATGGGTCTAGAGACACCGGCCCTGGATTGCAGGACTGGCAGAGGACCTGTGAGCTGAGAAGCACCTGTGCAACCGAGGGGACATTCAAGTGGCCCTTGCTCACCTGAGTCAGGCTCCCCCAGGTGACTCCAGCTCTGCTGGGGGTCCCTCCTTACCTGCGAGGCGAGCGTTGACCTGGTTGTGGCTATTCCAGAGCCAGAGGACGGCGTCATTGGTGCTCCCCACCCGGTGCATGGAGCGGGCAGCCATCTGCTCGAAGTGGCCCGCGCACTCTCGGCAGCCGAAGAAATGACGGACGTAGCTCCGGATGGCCTGCAGCACCTCCTGGCCCTTGGCTGCCGGGGAAGGAGAGCCATGTCCAGGAGCCCTCCAGGCAGTCAGCCCAACCCCTGCCCCAGCACACGTCACCCCTGCACAGGGGCCCTACACCCTACAAGAAATGAGGTCACTTCAGGGGTCTCCCAAACCCCTATACTCCTACACGATTACATGACAGGTTCCCCCCAAACACACACTTTTTTTTTTTTAAGATTAATTTATTTGAGAGTCAGAACTACAATGAGATGGAGGAGAGAGAACCTTGCACCCATTGGGTCACTTCTTGAGCGGCTGCAAAGGCCAGGCCGAAGCCAGGAGTCAGGAGCCAGGAGCTTCTTCCTAGTCTCCCCTGTGCCTGTGCAGGGGCCCAGAGACTTAAGTTCTCCTCTGCTGTTTTCCCAGGCACATCAGCTGGGAGCTAGACAGGAAGCAGAGCAGCTAGGACTCTAACTGGAGCCCACGTGGGTTGCCGGCATCGCAGGCAGGGGCTAACTTGCTAAACTGTGATGCATTTCTCTGGCACCATGCAGGCCCCTGTCAAAGATGCGACACTGCAGCAGGATGCACTGCAGCCAGAGAGAAGGGGGTGGGTCGCAGCGCCCCTCTTCTGTCCTCGCCGCTTGGGCATTCCTGCTCCACCTGCCTCCATCCCCCCGGCTCTCCGTCCTGTGCCTATGCATGGGCATCAGCCAAGGCTCCATTTTCCTGCTCGCACTGGAATCGGGCTCCACCCTGTAGACACCGCTCCCCCCAAAGCCTGCTCTCCCCCGTCCTGTATTCCTCAAGCTGCTGCCAGGGCTTCTAAACCCTCTCCCCTCCCCCAGGCAGTCCCCACGCATTCTCCCCTCAAGACCTCAGCAGTCCTGGCCGCCATCTCCACTACTCCCCACCACAGCTCTTGCCCTCCCACACCTTCCTTCTGAAAGCACTTCATTTTGGAGCTCTCTTGAATTACAGCCGGGACTCCTTTCCAGCTGCTCCGCTTCCAAACTAACTTCCTGTTAGTGCGCCAGGGAAGGCAGCAGATGGCCCGGGTGCTTGGGCTCCTACCGCCCACGTGGGAGACCCAGAGAGGGTTCTAGGCTCCTGGCTTCAGCCTGATGGAGCCACAGCTGCTGTGGCTACTAGGGGAAGTGAACCAGCAGATCCAAGATCTTCTTCCCTGACATTCTGCTATTCAGATAAACTATAAGCCCTCGCCTCCTGGGACGGGCTTCAGGCTGATGCTGTGGTGGCGTCAGGGGATTCTAGAAGGGCCCTGCTCCCCATCCCCATGGCTGACGGGCCAGGGCACGCGGGACCTGGACTCACCCATGTCTCGTGGGGGTTCTGTGCTTCGCCGACTCGCCTGCACCGTCAGGAAGTGGAAGAGGACCCACAGGGAGCAGGGGAAGCCCCGGAAGTGTGGCTCACTGCCCTGGCAGCCGATCCAGTTCACCTTCTTGGCCAGTACAGCGTCCTGAGGAGGCACGCACGGGAGAGAGAAGGCTGAGTGTGGACCTAGACAGGCAACGCAGCAGAGACCCCAGGTCGGTGTGCAAAACCCAGACACTGTGGCCCCTCTGGCGGGGTGGCAACCCCAGCATGGTATGTCCCACATGGCAGCTCTGCACACCAAGCTGTTCTCAGGCCAGCCCCAACCAGGCTCCCCGCAGGCTTCCTCGGCCCACCTACCTGCAAGGCTCCGTGTGTGGCACCCATTTCTGCCCACAGAGCACGAGGGGTCTAGAAAGGTGTCCCCACACCCCCAGAGGACCACACTGCGTGCTTGCAGGGAGCACGGAGCGCTTGTTAACAATCCCTGTGCCACACACCAGCTTCTGACCCCAGCCCGGCTGCTGGCTGGCTATGTGAGCTCAGACAAGCTGCTGACCTGTTCGAAACCTCAGCTTCCGTACCCGCACCTGCTAGGTGGGGCTAACACCCACCCCCACTGCTGTCTGCACGACTACAGCAGATGGAGGACCCAACCTTCCCGGATACAGACCGGAGAAGGGGCGCGTGTGTGCGGTTAGCCCTGCTTTCCACAGAAATCAAGGTAGGGGAGAAAGTCCTCCGCCCCCAGACTCACCTCCCTCCTGCTGTCCAGAGCAGTTTTGAAATAGCTGTAAGGGATTTTCTTTTTCTGCTGCCTCTTGAGCCAGTCATCTACGGAGTACAGGAAGTTCTGTACCAAGGGCCGGCCAGGGAAGTACTGTGGGGAACAGACAGCCAGGACTGAGAGGGGGGTCCTATGCCAAAGCAGGCTGAGATGGGATTTTCTGGAATGTTCCCAGACCAGCAGGAAAACATTCTGCCTGGGAGGGTGGCGACACAAATGTGGATTCCTCACTGCTTCTGCTCTGGGGAAGATCCCAACTAGAGGGTACCGGCCCTGCAGGCACCCCCACCTGCAGCGCAACCCCCCAGCCCCCGTGGGAGAGGGAGGGATGCTGGCACCACTCCCCAGGGCTGCTGGCGGCCTGGGTCACAGGCCATCGCCTGACCGACCAGCCAGCTGGGCCAGGCCGGCTAGGGCCTCACTCCTTTGTATTCCATGGGCTGCAGGGTAGGGGGCGGGGGGAGGGATAAGCCGGTCGAGGGGCTTCTAGGCAAGATCCAAATCTTGAAGCCGACTCCCGGGAGTCTCTGGGGAGCATGGAAAGCTACTCTGACAATAAGTCGACACAAATCTGATTAGTATCAGCACTTAGAAACCACAAGGGCTCCGGGGAGGGGATAAATAGGTGTGTGTCACATGTGCGGGCGCGTGTGCACGCACGCACACACGGCAGGGGACAGAGAAAAGAAGGCAGCAGAGGCCAAGCAGGTCAAAGACATCCACCAGCAGGTAGGGGAGAGCTCGGGGCCTGCGGATAGGACCTGTGGGCAGAGTCCGGGCGCCCAGAAAGCCCATGACTGAGGGTGCTCACAGTGGGGGCGGGGGCTTCCCAGAGTGGGACGTGGCTGGTGCACCCACCGCACCGTGGCTGTGTACACAGGCCCGGCTGTGTGCGAACAGATGAAGGCAGCGGCGACAGGAAAGCCTGGTGACCATGCGCCCCCCAGTGGCCAGCGCCTGCCCACACAGAGCAGAGCGCAGGGCTGGGCGCTAATGGGGCTGCCAGACCTAGAGCACTGCCAGCTCTCCCCACTCAGCTCTGGGTGCCCCTTGGTGCCCTGCTCCCAGGGCAGGCGGGAAGTGGATGAGAACTCCGGCCGGCCCTTCCACCGGCTGGCTGGAAAATCCTGGGCTGGGTACATTACTCTCTGTATCTTCATTTTATTTCATCGTTAGAATGGGGACTGCCCTATAACCCGTGCCGAGGCCTCTGAGCAGACAGCACTGGACAGGGCCAGCCTGGCAGAGCTCAAGGGAAGGGGCTGCTGCAATAGCTGAGAAAATGCTAAGCAAACGAGAGGAGGAGGGTCAGGCCGCTCTGCTGCCTCCAGGCCGCTGGCCCTGCCCCGTTGCTCTCACTGCAGGGTACACTGCAGTGCGGCCCCTACCCCGCTAGGGCCAGCCCTGACCTTGCTTAGGGCTCCGGCCCCGGGGCACCTTCAGCCCCAGCTCAGGAGGTGCCACTAAGAGGACACAGTGGCAGCCCCCACCCAGCCCCCGGACTGTCAGACATCCTTTCCCCTCATGTCTGGCTGGACACAGCTCTGCCGAGGGTCCACAGCAAAGGCCAGTACTGAGGACGACAGCGGTGTGAGACCCACAGAACTGCACTGCTGGGGTGATGCCTCCAGGTGTGCCAGCCCAGGGCCAATGCTGTCCTTCCCACCGGCCCCAGGGCCTCGGGGTAGGGGGCACTGTCCTGCTCTCTGCCCTCTGCAGCTGTAGCTGTAAACCCTGTTGCTCCCAGACCTCGGGAAGGGCTGTCATAGTGTGACGGGGAGTAGGTTAGCGCGACTCAGTCGCTGTGGGACTTGGCAGCTTTCCCTCTGGCCACGCTGCCTCTCGTGGGACCCTCTCCGTGCAGCCACACAGGCGTGAGAAGCAGGCCGGGGTGGGGTACGGGAACAGAGATGAGGGACAGGCACAAATCCCACCCCCACCCCCCAAGGTGGCTCAGGTCCGCAGAGCGGGCACGCAGGGCGGAGGGTGGCTGACTCAGCATTTGTCCAGGAAGGGGACTGGAGCCACGACTGAGTCAGCAGTGCTCAGCGGCAGGAGTTTTAAGTAGGGCAGCGCTGGTGTGGGATCTGGAACTGGGCGAAAGGACACGGCCAGTGAGCCACAGCCCCCTTGCCCCATTGGAGGGGGAGGCGTGGCAGACAGGGGACACGGACAGCGCAGCCCCCAGACCCTGGCTCAGGTCCTGGAGGCAGCCCCTGGTAGCTGGCAGACCCCATGCAAACCACCCGAGCTCCCGGGCTGCCACCCAGCCCCTGCAGAGTCAGCCAGGGGAGCACACACTGAATCAGGTGGGGCCGACCCTCGGCTCAGGGAGGATCAGCCAGCAGTCTGCAAGGAAAGCAGGGAACCTCAGAGAGCATGCTGTGTGGGAAAGCCCTGGCTCCTGCTTCCCCAATGACCTGGGAGGGACAAGGGGCTCGGAGTGAGAGGAAGGGTCCTGCCAGGCAGGTGGAACCGCAGTCACACTGGGCCAGCTGGGGTTCTCCTCCCCCAGCCCTGGCCTGAGGCTGACCGGGGCGGACCTGAGCATGGGAGGGGCCGGTGCACTCTCCCCACGTGGGCCCCACCCAGCTCACCTTGGCCAGCACAGCCACGAACTTCTTCAAGGCCGCCAGGCGCTGTCCCTCCAGGACGGAGAACTTGCCCACTTCCACCCGCAGGATGTAATGCAGCGCAGATTCCAGGTCGGCCATGTAGACCTTGGAGCTGAGGCCCGGGAGGAGGAGTGGACAGAGAGAAAGGGGCGTCAGCTGGGTACCAGGCCGGGCTGGTCAGAGTCCTGGCAGCCTGAGATATGCCATGGGACCTTCATGAATTGCTCGGCACAGACAGGATGCTGAGAGCACTGAATGAAACACAGAGGGAGACCCTCAGTAGAGGGGGGGGGGGGGGCCCGTGCAGGCTCCAGCCAAAGGCTTCCCGGCCTGCGGTCCTTGCTCCTCTCTATGCTGCCCTGCACTAGCACCTCCCACATCAGGAAGGCTGCTTATGCACACATACGCCATGACTCCGGAACAGCCGGGGCCTCCTGGCAGGACCCAGGGTTCAGCTGCCCACAAGGCTGGGAAGTGGGGGTGCATGTGGAAGTGAGCCAGGTGTTTCCTTCCAGGGCAGATGTTCTCACAGTTGCCACATCTGGCTGTGCTCCCCGGCCCCACTACCCTGAACTATTCTTGTGTTGTATCTGAACAAGTGTTCCCTCTCCCAACAGGCTAATCCTCTATCTGCAGCACTTACATCCCATATGGATGCCGGTTCGAGTCCTGGCTATTCCATTTCCCATTCAGTTCTTTGCTTATGGCCTAGGAAGACAGTGGAGGATGGCCTAAAGCCTTGGGACCCTGCACCCATGTGAGAGACCTGGAGGAAGCTCCTGGCTCCTGGCCTTGGATCACTTCAGCGCTGGCCATTGTGGCCATCTGGGGAGTGAACCAGTGGATGGAAGCTCTTTCCCTCGGTCTCCCCTTCTCTGTAATTCTGCCTTTCCAATATAAATAAATAAATAAATCTCTCTTAAAAAATTAGAAGCAGCCATGGCATTGAATGAGGTGGCAGTGGGAAGGTGCCCAGTGCAGAGCCTGGCATGTAAGGCTAGCACACGCTGGCTATCGTGGCAGGCTGAGAAGGATCTACATGGTCCTGACTCGAATGACCCCCCTCGACCACTTCCACCCCTGGCTCTTTCCTTCCCCCTTGACTTAGTAGTCACACTCTCCACGTGCCATCCAAGAGGCCTCTTTGAAACCAGGGACCCTGCCTGATGCTCCCACGCAGCCTCTCCTGGCACCTGCTTTCCCAACCCAGCTCTGAGCTCCTTCCGGTCAGGCACTGACTGGCATTCAACAGGCAGCTGGCTGCCAGGGCCTGCAGCTGGAGACACACAACTCCATCGCCTTACCTGCCACGCCGGGAGGCTCCCACAGGGCAGGGCCCAGGAGGCACGGGGCACCTGGCAGAACTGGCATTCACGCAAAGCCATGTGCCTTCCCTGGAGGGACTGTGGGCTCCACAGCGGCTGGGGCTGCCTGTGCGTTTCTGGGTTCACAGAGTCCAGCCCACGGTAGGGAGCATTGCTCCAAGCTGTCCCCTCTTTCTTGCCCACCACTGCCCATGGCCTGACCGAGGTGGGAATGGAGGAGGCAGGAGGGAGTCAGGCGTGTCCTTACCGATCTGCAAATTTCCACACTGTGGGTGCTATCTTGTTAGACGTGGTGGGCGCCACGGTGGTGTGCGAGGCCTCCCTGGTGAGCCCGGGCAGTTTCCGCAGGTACGCCGTGTAGGATGGCCTGGACTCGGTTAGCCTGGGAGGGAGGAGGGCCGCAGAGGTGAGCATGGAACAGCAGCTTGCTCCAAGCATGTCCTGTCTGAAGGGCCAAGGTCTGCAGGTGCTGGGCCCCTGGGGAACAAGGTCATTTTTGCACACACCTCCAGGCACAGTTCCAAGGTTAGCTCCAGGCTACTGTGCCCTGGCTCCCCTCCAGCCCCTAGTAGGGAGGCCTGGTGGCTGTGTGATTCTTAAAGACAGCAACACCAACAGAGGGCTAAGGGGAAGGCGGGCAGTAGGGGGATGCTCTCCGGCCCCATTAGTCCTTCCACTTTTTCTTCTGGTGGAGAAGGGTCCTGAACTTGAACAGCCTGCTGCGCACCAGCTTGGAGCCGCCCGACAGGAGAGGCTTGGTGATGGTGCTGGTGATGGGTGGCCCCAGGGAGCTGGCATCGGCAGGCAGTGCTTTCCACTCAGCAGTCCTGGCCTGGCGCTTGCCAATGAGCAGGTGGCCGGGGCAGCGTCGTCACAAACAATTTTCCCCTCCACCAACTCCAAGCGAGGAGACAATGCCTCATCTCCCTGCCAGGGCTGGCCCCCGGGAGCCAGCCCCATCCTGTGCCCCTGCGAGTCTCTGCTGGGCCAGCCCGGGGTTGCCTGGTGACGTGGGCTCCAGGGTTGGGGCCAGGGGCTGCCCTGCTGGCCTCCTCCGGGGCAGGCACGGGGGCACCACTGGCCTCGAGGATGCTCGGTCAAGCCTGGCTCTCGCCCTGGCTCTCCAGCTCCTCACTGCAGGGCTAGGCTGCCATCAATCATGTGCCCAGGGAGGGCACTCAGGCACCATCTGGCGCCATTTAACGGGCCATTCAGCAGCGGGAGCCTGACAGAGGGCCGGGCTGGCCTAATTGTTTTCTCTCGCAATTCTGGAACAGCCTATTGTCTGGTTCCTAATGAACTTTTGTGCAATTAGGAAACCAAAGGGAAGGAGGGTCAGCATTTCTGAGTCCCTGCCAGGCCGGCAGCCTGCCCGTGAGTCTGTTGGTGCCTGCAAGGAAATGACTGCAGGGGCCGGGCCGTGGTGAGCAGGGGCACAAGTGTGCAGGCCTAAGGGCAGTAGAGACCCTGCACGCACCCCCTCCTGGTCCCCCACCCAGGGGTACGGCTCTAGCCCTCTCCCACAAGCCCCCTCCCCCAAGAAAGAGCTTGTCTCCCAGGGCAGGCAGGACGCGCCCAGGGAGCGAGGTAGAGGAAGCACTCACACAGGGACCCGGGAGACAGAGCCATTCCGGAACAGCAGGTAGCAAGATGGGAAGTCGGTAACAGCAAACCTGCTCACCACATCTCTCTGGGTGTTCAGCACCCTGCGTACCGCCAGGCCCTGGTGCTGGGACAGGTCCAGAGTCACCTGCCAAGACAGCAAAGCAGCACACCAGGGGCTGAGGGAGCCCGCGCTGGGTCCTCAACTCGCCAAGCCTTTCAATGAGGAGATGGTGGGATGGGTAAGGGACCTGGCACCAGTCACATCCAACCCCTGGGATGGTCAGCTGCTACAGCCCAAGTCGGGCCTCCAGGCTTAGGCTCTCAAGGTCAGGGCCAGATAAACACACGCTGTGTCTCACTTGAGAGCAAGCTGTAAGAACCATTAAGGGAATGTAAATTTCTGGCCTTGGCAGCTCTTGCAAGCGCCAAGATCCGATATGGATGTTGGTTCATGTCCCAGCTGCTCCACTTCCCATCCAGCTCCCTGCTGAGACCTGGGCAAACAGTCAAGGACGACCCAAAGCCTTGGGACCCTGCACCTGCGTGGGAGGGTCAGAAGAAATTCTTGGCTCCTGGCTTCAGACTGGCTCAGCTCTGGCTGTTGTGGCCACTTGGGGAGTGAACCAGCAGATGGAAGATCTTTCTGTTTCTCCTTCTCTCTATAAAGCTGTCCTTCTAATAAAAATGAATAAATCTTTTGTTAAAAACGTGGGTTCTTGTTTTCTCTTTTCCTAGGAAACTTTTCTATTTACATGGCCAATTTAAAAAAAAAAAAAAGCACTCATGAGCACGTGGGTTTGATTTTGATTTTTAGACATTGTCTGTGCTCCCTGTCAGAATCGCCTATCGCAGGAGCACCCATCAAACCGGGGAGCAGTGCTGGGCGCCCCAGCAGTCCGGGCCACATCTCTGCGACTCAGTATGACATTCACGCCACGTGCCACGGGCCGAGAGTGGGGGAACTGCACAAACCTGCTGGTGCCTGTGCTTCCGTAAGTATTTCTGACAAAGAGGGCACGGTGGAGCAGTGGAGTCAGGTTGGCCACTTGGGACACCCACAGTCCAAGCCGTGCGGTCCTGGTTTCTGATCTGGTTTCCTGCCCCTGGGAAGCAGCAGCTGCTGGCCTCCCGGCTTCCTGCAGCTCCTTGTGGGGAAGCCCTGGCCAGTCCGGGAAGCTGGAGTTCAAATCAGTGGATAAAAGAGCTCTCTCTACCATTCTGCCTTTCAAATAAATTCACCTTTTAAAAAAAGCAGCTTTTTTTTTTTTGAAGACCCTCAGGTTTAGAAGTAAGATCATGTCTCCTGGTCACAGGGCCAGCATGTATCACAAGCGGGCACTCCACTGCAGCTGGGTCTACCTCCAGGGCGTAGGCTCTTGGCCACTCTGCCCTTTTGAGCACACCGCCTGGATGCTGGGCCCTGGGCCCTGTCCCCTGGGCTATTCAGGGCACTGTGGCAGTGGACAGGAGGAGAGCAGTTGATCTCCACCAGTGTTGAACTCTTGGCCACAGGCATGGGCCTGGGTATGCATGTACCTGGAGCCCAGTGGGGGCAAGCACTCCTGCAGTGAAGCCACCTGCCTGGCACCAAGCTCAGAGGGCTGGGGGCTGAGCTGAGTGGGTCCCAGCAGAAAACCTACCTGGAGCCACTCGTAAGGTTTCATGTCAGCCCCACCTGCCTCCATGTCACCCTGGCCTCCTCCCACGGGGCAGCTCCCAGGCCCAGTTTGTCCCACTTTTACATCTAAGAAAGCCTTCCAGGTGGTCCATGGAGAATCCTCTGTCCAGGCAAGAGGTGTGGGTCTTTACAAAGCACCTACTATGTGCCAGGTAGACAGGACAACATCCTCAGCACAGGTAAGCAAGTTTCCCAAGGGACAGAGCACACATGATGTCCCCTGGTCAGGGACCTCCCCTTGCCCAGGAGGGTCTGGCTCAGCTCTCAGGCCCTCCTACCCCAGACACGTCATCCAGCAGTTCGGAGTGGGCTTGGAAACCAGCTGGATTTGTTCAAAACCCTGTCCTGACAATTTTCTAGCTGTGCCATCCTGGGCATGCGACGCTGGAGTTGGAATCATGTGTATTAATGGTGACTGGCAATTAACATGTGTTAGCAGAGGATTCTCCGTGGAGCACCTGGGAGCTCAGTGCTCCACACACAGCAGGTCAGGGTCTGCTTTCCAAGAGTGGGGACCAGATGCCAAAGTTTTCAGCTGCAAAAATGCCCAGTCCCTGCACTTCCCATTTCTCCCAGCAGAGGTCGGGCCAGTGCCAAGTTCAGGAGGAGATCCTAGACTGGCCGGAAAGCCTTGCCTTCGGAACAGGGGGCTCTCCCAGTGGGCTTACCTCTCTCCCCAGGTAGGAATCTTCTTTTTCGAAGATCAAAGCCAGGTATTCTTTATTGTTTCTTGCAAAAAATCCATCAATATCCTTCAGCCTGCAAGAGACAATATCGAGGTTAACTCTCCCCAGCCGGGAAGAGCCACAAGCCCCCACTGGGGTCCCTCCACCAGCCCACTAGGCCAGGTATGGCAAACACTTAGTCTCTAAGGATGCCGCCCTACTCCCCGGCCCGGCTCTCCACCAGTCCCACCCTGCTGGAGCTTTTCCTGTCTCTTTCAGGAGGCCCAGGAGGGATGCTCTCAGACCTGGGCAAGGCCCAATTTCCAGGATGTGCTTGTTACTGGTCCCCAGGGAGACCAAGATCAGGACCCATCAGAGGAGCCAACCAGGAAGCTGCCCTTCCCTCTTGGGCACCGGGAAAGGAACTGAAGGACCAGAAGTTTCCAGGGGCAGGATTCGATGGCAACTCAGCCAATTTCACTTTCAGCCAGGTTCCTCGGGCGGGAATGAATGGGAAGGCAAATTCTACAGTCGTGGCAGTGGCCACACCCGGCCCGGCCCAGGGCCCAGGGAGACTACGATTAGTAGTCTGTCTGGGGGCATAGTCTGTCTCGGGGCAGGGGAACCCCTCAGTTCCTGGGACCTCCACTGGGGTCCCTGTCAGTAGTTCCTGCTGGCCGTGGATTTGATTTTTCTCAGCAAGAGTCCCCGGAGCCAGGCATTGGGCTCATCTGGGTTTCTCTTCCAAATGTGAAGGACCTGGGTGTCTTCTGTCCGTCTCTGGAACACCACAGGTAAGACACCACCCACCTCTAGGTCTCATCTTCCTAGGCAAGAGGCAATGGGGAAGCCAGCCTGGCGGGGGCACAGATCTGCCACTGGCAGCACAGGCAGCTGAGGGGACTCCCACTGCAGCCCCAACAGCCCTGAGGGAGGCAGCCAGAGCTGCAGCAGGTGGGAGACCTGGAGAACCCACACCTGCTCTGCTTCTCCACCTGATGGAATGTGACCCTGCACTCACCAAGCTGGCCCCCAGAGCAGAGGGGGCCCCAGGTCGGAGGAGCGCAGCAGCTGCCACACTCGCTCCAAAGCCCCCAAGTCCTGTAGCAGAGGCAGCGACCCCCACCATGCAGTTCCCACCCCCTTCAATCCCAGGCCTGGGGCCCCAGCCCACACTGCACTAAAGCTGATCGAATACCTGGCAGGCTCCAGAGGAGGACAGGCCGAGGGCCACTTGTCACGGTGCGTCTCCAGGGCATCGATGAGCCTCTCACGCAGCGTTGGCACGTCGGCACCAGCCACTGCGAAGGAAGCGGGTGTGGGAGGGCATCAGGGGAGGACTGGATGGCATGCAAGGACATCCAGAGGGCTGGGCACATGGCAACACCCTGTCCCATCCTCCCTCCCGCCCTTGCCCCTGAGACCTGCAGTGTGCCCCCTGCCTCTTCTCCCCCTGGGCATCTCCCAGGCCTACTGGGAGGACAGCTAGAAGTCCCTGGGGACTTCCTGTCGGTGTGGGGGCTCCCGTGGGAAGGAGAGGAAAAGGCAGGCAAGGCCACCCCAGACAGGGTCAGGACACCCACCTGGCAGGGTCGTTCCCACGCCGCCCTTGGAGAACGCCTTGAAGAACTGCAAGCAAACACACAGTGATGCAGACGGCGGGGGTGCAAACGCAGAGCCGAGGCTGTGCTCACAACCCAGCCACCAGGAACTGCAGAGCCACAGCCACTCCCCTCCCCACTGTCCTCGCAGCCCGCGCCTCGCCCACGCCCACCCATGCCCGCAGGGTGCCCAGGAGCCCACTGTGGCACCCACAGCCCTTGCTGGAGACAGACTCCATCTCTAAGGAGCCAGCGCGTGCGTGGTTACAGAGAAACATTTTTACCATGGCTGCTTCTCCTGGGACACATTTGAAAAATAAAATGAAGCTGCTTCCACCTTTGGGGAAATGTCAGCTCCCCCTCCTCAACCCTCAGCTTCCCTTGTCTTGAGCCTCTAGCCTATCACCTCCATTGCCACCAATCCCGGCCTGACAGGGTCGACCCTCAATGGGGGTCCCCAGCCACATCCTCTGCAGGGCTGGACCTGAGACCCCAGAGAAACAAGCCTGCTACCGCCACTCCCGCTGCTCAGCCCGGCTGGACTGGAGGCTTCTCCTGTCCCACGGATGCGACATCCTGGGCCTGCTCTGCCCTCTCCTGGGCAACCTCTGAGCCTCAGCGTCCTCCCCTTGAAGAGGAGGAGGATTCCATGGCCTTGAAGAGCTGTTGGGAGGGTTCCCCAGCAGTGGTCCCAGAGCCATTAGCATAGGAGCCCCCGCTGACAGCAGCCAGAAGACACTCACAGCCTCTCTCAGTCGTGACGGTCGCCCCTCCTCCCTACAGTCAGCAGGCAATGTTCCCCAGCCAGGGCTGCTTTGGTCCAGCCCTTGCAGGCAGAAAACCAAAATGCAGGACTGGGGTGGTATTCTGGTGGAGTAGGCTAGGTTCCTGGCATCCCCCAGGATCCCTGGGTTGGCGTCTCAGCTGCTCCACTTTCAGCCCAGCTCCCTGCCTACGGCCGAGGAAGGCAGCAGAGATGGCTCAAGTCCTTGGGTCCCTGTACCCATGAGACCTGGGAGAGCCTCTGCCCATTGTAGAGCCAGCTGGGGAGCGGACCAGCAGACAAAAGATTATCTCTCCTTTTCTCTGCGATTCTGCCTTTCAAAAAAATTTAATATATCTTTTTTTTTTTTTTTAAATGCAGGACCGTTTGTCTCCTCCCCAAATGTCTGCCCCTCCCCCCACATGAGTAACAAAGTACAACCTGGCCACCATCTTGACCTGCCTGCACACTCTCCCCGCTGCCTCTCATCTCACCTGGGCCCTGACACCTACTCGCTGCTTGATTCTCTTGTCTCTGGCTAGATCATTAATATAAATGCTTATTCTGGAGAAAGCTATGCATTTATTTGTTGGACAAATCTTGACCTAACAGCATTAAGAAACACTAATAGTCACGGATTTCCTAGATTGCAACATGAGCTCCAATAGGTAAAGCATCTACGTACGGACACTGGTTCTCAGACACGAAATGGGAAAGGCAGCTCTCGGGGGCATGGCCGGTGACAGTCACCCAGCTAGACAGTGGTCTGGCCACAGCAGCCATTCCTGGCACCAGTGCCACTCTTTGTGTTCAGACTGGACGGACCCCGATTTGTTCCCAGTTAGAACGCCACGGAGCTGCTGAGCTTCATACAGTGCTACGGCCCCGTTGTTGTTGGTTCAGAAACCGCCAGGTTAGCCAAATCTGAGCAGGTGCCTGAATTTCAGAGGTTGGACATCGGGCATGGAGCTCGGGATGCCTGCCTGCCTGCCATGTCAGAGTGCCCAGCTGGATTCCGGCTCTGCTCCGGACTCCAGCTTCCTGCTGACTTGCACCTGGGAGGGCAGCAGACGATGGCTGGGTCCTGGTTGGGTCCTGGTCAACCACGTGGGAGACCCAGACCGAGTCCCCAGCTCCTGGATGAAACATCAACCTCTCTCTCTGACTTTGGAATCAACAAACTTTAAAAGTATGTTTGAAGAAGATAAAAGATTGGTATGACCTGCCTCCAAAGGTGCCTGCCTGGGGCTCTGAAGGCAGTGGCCGTGGAAGCGTGGAGATTCAGCAGCAGCCAAAATCGGGCAGACTGGGCAGGGGGCTCCCAGGAGACCCACCCACAGGGTCCTCGCCCCTCACGTCACCACCTGAACCCCACTTCCCACAGCTCAGGCTACCAATTCATGCCTGCTATCATTTCCCTTTTCCTCCGACAGCCTCTCCCCCCCCCCCCCCCAGACAAAGGTTAGAGAGAAGGCCTCCTTCCTGTCTGGCTGCCGCCTTTCCCTGCACCCCCACTCATCTGCTCCCTCTGTTCCCACGACCCTGGCCCTGCCTCCTATTGCACCTGTCCCCAGAACCCTCCCTGGCTCCTCTGCAGGACCCGATGCTGCTGCCCCCACCAGCTGCCCCTCCACGCCCAGCCGTGTGCCACTGCGGGGGCTCCATCTTCCTTGAGGCTCCGCTCCATGTCGCCGTCCTCCCCAGGTTCACGTGAAACCACCCCTGCCTTTTGAGCCTCCTGCTCTCTCACCCCCATTCTTGCCATGTCGTGAGCCCCAGGGTCCTCCTACAGCCCCCAAGGTAGATCTCAATGCTCCCTTCTGTTTGCAGAGCTCATGGAGGGGGAATGAACAAAGGGACAAAGCCCAGGCCAGTGCTTTCTGCTGTTTCAGCCAACAACTGCTCCATTCGCAGCCGGAGCCTTCCGCCCCAGGTCCTCACCTGTGCCACACTTCTCACTGGGGCAGGGCCGCCTTCACCCGGTGGGGAGGGAGCATCTGCCGCCGCCCCGCATGCACGCACACGACAGGTTCAGCCTCCCCAGCTGCTTTCCTCCCCCAGGGATGGTTCTCCTCCCTGCCACCCAGACTGGCAGCTTGCTTCCTCATAAGCCCCAGCGCCCGGTGTCTGGACTGCTGTGATTCTGATCTCCATGACAACCTCAACAGCACTTCTTCCGCACCTGTTGCCCTCCGCGCCCTGCCCTGAGGACAGCCCCAGTCCCTGCCAGTCCCACTACTGTGCTCCTCCTCGCATCTCTGCCATGACTGCCCGCGACACCTGAGTAAGGACCAAACTCCCTGCATCCGACCCCTGCTGGATCTGACCCCCCCCCACGTTCCCTTCTGCTGCCCCCTTACTCCCTACTACACTCCAGCCACAGGGGACTTTGGCCTGAACTTGCAAACAAGCTGCCAAGCCCCCCCTGGGTCCAAGAGGCAGGACAAGAGTGTATTCATTTCTGCCATGGAGCCTGGCATGGTGCCGGGGGCACAGCACCCCAAGGGACTCCACAGATGTCTGCTCAGTCAGACGGGATCTCTGCCTTTGATCACCCCTGGAGCGCATGGGGAAATCTAGTTTGGGCACGCTTTTGCCCTCTTAAGAAAATGTACCCTAACTCAGGTGGTAGTGGTGGTGCAAGTGGGCACCAACCCCAAGGGCAAGCAAGGCTGCTTGGCAGGCAGGAGCAGCCAGCACCCAACCCTCACACAGGAGCTCCTGGAAGGCAGCCAGCCTCTGCCATCCAGCAGGAGCCCAGATGGTACCAGGCAGGTCTGTGCGAAGCTGAGCAACAGCTGCCTGGGCACACGTATCCTGCTGCATGGCCGGGCAGCACTGAGGAGGTCTCGGGCCAGACCTGAAGGGAAGCCTATAGCTGCCACAGGGGGAGCCATGGCGGACCAGGGGCCTCGGACAGAGGCTGTTGGAATCTTGTCCTTGCCATGACATCCTGCCATCTGCAAGACCCACTTCAGGACAAGGCCCAGCCCTGAACGAACACACACACACACACACACACACACACACCACGCCTTGCTTTCAGGGACCCATTATTGCTGGGTCCCCTCCTTCCCAGCCCCCTCACCCCTCCACATGAGCTTCCGCCCATCCAGACAGGTCTCCACCTCCACTGGTCTGCCCAAGGGCCTTGGCTCTCCCCCTCTGCCCTGCCTGTGATCCCCTGCCCACACTCCTCTGTGTTGGCCACACCTCAGCTGCCCTCTGGCAATGGGGAGTCCTCCCCCCATTAGGGTGAGAGCTCCAGGAGCCCACGGAGCCCCATGCAGTAGGCTCCGGGCAGCCTGCTGGCCGCCATCCCCCCAGCTGGTCAGTGTGTGTGTGCTACAGGAGGGAGACCACACGCCAGCTCTGGGACTGCCCCGCTATGCTGAGTACAGCACCATGCACCCAGCCACCATCCACGTGGCCGTAGCTGGCCCACGCACTACCCAGGCCACAGAGAAGTACCCACTCACCCCGAGAATGAGAAGGAATAAAATGAACATTTACCCAGCATTTTCTCCAAACCCCACCATAGTCTTGGTGTGTTCACACATGAAGGCCCCACTTCAGGGACTGCTGCCGTGGCATGGCAAGCTGAGCCTCTGCCTGACGTGTCAGCATCTCATGTGCACACCAGTTCAAATCTTGGCAGTTCCACTTCCCATCCAGCTCCCTGCTAATGTGCTTGGGAAAGCAGCAGAAGATGGCCCAAATACTTAGGACCCTGCAGCCACATGGGAGACCTAGAGCAAGCTCCAGACTCCTGGTTCTGGACCAGCCCAGCCCTGTTGTTGTGGCCATTTGGGGAGCGAACCAGTGGATGGAAGATTCTTTCTCTCTGGTTGTGTGTGTGTGTCTGTGTGTCCTTCTCTCTGTAACTCTGCCTTTCAAGTTAAAAAAAATTGTTTTTAAAGAAAGCCTATTTCACTCTCAAGAATGATCAGATGAAACAGATACCACCCACTTTTCAGACTAGGAAACTGAGGCCCACGGCTTGGCACAGTGACACGCAGTAGGCAGTCGGGGGAGGACTTGGACTGCTCCTGGCCTGATGTCCAGGAATTTGGCAAAAGGAAGACCCAGCCGCTTCACCCCAGTGCTCTGTTCTGTGTCAGCCTGCTTCCAGCCCAGCCTTGACACTGAGGGGCCCCAGCTAGCATTCACGGGGAGCCCTCCCCCTGCCAAGAACACACGGCCTCCGGTCCCCATTGTGGCTGTGGGCAGCTAGCACGGTGCTGGGCAAGTCCCCAGCTTTAGTGTGCCGGGATTGGGACCTGCATTCCAGGGACAGGGAGTTTGCTAAACAGGCTGGGTTAGTGCAAGTTCGCTGTTTACTCATGGTGACAAGGGGCTTGCAGAGGAAAAGGATGGTGACACAAGGTCACCGGGTGGCCCTGTCCCCAGGAAATCGACAGCATTCTCCCCTTCCCCGCTGAGCAGAGGCTGTGGGTGGGCGACAAGCACAGGCTCCAGTGGCACAGGGTTTGCTCTGCTTTCCAGGGAGCCTGGCCTCAAAGGCCACGGGCTCAGCGCCCCGAGAGACCTGGAACCTGTCTGGGCAGTGTTTGCCTAAGAGTGGATCTGACGACCTGCAGCTGAAAGAAACTGTCAAGGCAGAAAATACCAGCATGTGTTGCCGTTTGAGTACACATTGTTTTGCGGCACCTCTGTTTTAGCTGTGACAGACACAAAACCATCTGTGGGATCAGCTTGAGGCCGGAGGGCAGAGATGCGGCCGGAGCCTGAAGCACTTGGCCCAGCTAAGCCGAAACAGAGCTGCAGGTTGCTCAGGGGAGGCGGGGGAGGCTTTGCCAAGAGAGGCCCTGACACCTGCTCTCTGGGGAAAGATGACTTGTGGGACGGCCCTGCCAAGCAGGTGCTGCCTGTCCGGAGGCAGGGGGAAGGCCCACCCGGCACCCCTCCCACAGCCAGCTGGGTGGCGACGGAGATGACGACTCCTTCGCGGCATCCAGGCTGCGTGTGCTGCGTGACTTGGTAGGAGCTAGGAGCCCTGAACAGCCACCTGCCTTGGTCGCCGCCTCCCCAGTTTCTGAGTCCAGCCTCTGCCAGGCAGGAACGGGAAAGTCCTGGCTGTCAGGCCTTGCAGGGTCCCAGCAAGGTGTGCCAATCTGGCCATGGTGGCATGGCAATGCCCAGCCCTGCACGGAGGGAACTCCATGATGCCCACGGCTTCGCCTCGGGGCAGCCCACTCGGCTTGCTCAGCCCCATTCCCTGGTTCCCAGTGCACACGCCACGGGGCGGGGAAAAGGCCAGTTCTGGCGGGGTGTAGGGGTGTCTTTTACATTAAAGGAAGGACTGTAGCACCACACAGCAGCCCAGCTTCAGCTAAGCCAGGGAGGGGGCCCAGGTCCCAGGATCCAGGAGTGTCATCACCAGGAGGAGAGGAGGGGAGGCAATTGGAGCCATGCTGCTGCAGGAGCCCGGGCGGTGCTTCCTAGACCCACGCTCGTGGGGTCATTGGGCAGAGTCCTGGCCCGCTGCTGGGAACGCCAAGTACCCAAGCTCAGAGAGCTCATGTTCCGGGGACGACAGTTGGCAAGTCGACTCTCAAAGGCATTTCCTGATTATTCTTAGGGGCTGGAGGGGAAAGTGCTTTTCTTGGATGGGGAGGCAGGGCATTAAGTCTCACCAGAGGTCAGGAGAGAGAGACTGGGGTGGAGGAGGATCCACGGTCTCCAATTTGGAAGAAAAAAAAAAACAACAGGACTAGAGCACGGTGTGTGTCCTGCCGGGGCGCCCTCCCCGTGGCTGTGGCTTCAGGGTGTGACAGCACGCACACTGCACACCGGATCCTGGGCACGTTGGGTGAGGCTACCCTTCCCCCTGTCCCCCCGGGGACCATTCTGAGCACCTACAGCTCACAGTCCTGACCTGATGGGGGGGCGGTCTGCTAGGTCTCTGGGGCCAGATCCTGCCCACAGATGGATCCCCCGAATCCAGGGCTTCTGAAGTCAGGTCAGACCTCTCAGGCTTGGTGAGGCCCAACAACCAACACTGCCTGGCCCATAGCCCTCACACGACCCTCTCTCCCTTACAAAGGACAGATTCTCCCAGACCCAATGGACCTCTGTCTTCCCACTGGGTGTTGCATGAAGCTGGGGCTGAAACCAGCCACAGAGAGCTCAGAGAGCAGGGAACACAGCAGGCAGGCCAGCAGCCCCAACAGGCACAGGATGCACAATGCCCCCTTCCTTGCCAGGACCACCCGCCCGCCCGGCCACAGGCCGGGCCACACGCACCCTCACGGTGGGGAAGCCGGGGATGTTGAAGTCCCTGCAGATGGCACTGTTGGTCTCATCAGCGCAGTCCAGGGCAGCGAGGTTCAGTGCTGGCCGCCAGTCTGAAAGGAGGAAACGCCTGGTTAGGGAGGCCACAGAGCCAGGTACCCCTGCCCCAAGGACACCGGCCCTGCCCAAAAGCTCAGAGGAACAGGCTCACTTCTCCCGCAGAAAAAGACCTGAGGGGGGCCTGGCCCCTCAATCCGCATGAATCAGGGCCTCACAGGAGCCGCCCCCTAAGCCAGGGCTGGCCTCCCTATAGTGGGGGAGAGACGCAAACAGGGTTAAGCCACCATGGGGACACCAGCATCCCATGTCAGAGTCAGCTTAGAATCCCAGCTGCTCCACTTCCCACCCAGGTCCCTGCTGATGCACCTGGAGATGGCCAGGTGGGTGGCTGATGGGGGCTAGGGGGCTAAAGGGAGAAGTAGGAGGAGCCTGGCCCCCAGGGGAAGGCTCTGATGAGGTGGAGCGCCCTATGGCCCTTGGGGCACTGGAGGATACAATCAAGTTTCTAAAGGGTGGAGGGCTTAGGGTGGGGGTCGGGGAGAATTCCCCGGTGGATCCTCAGAGATCTCTGAGCCAGAGATACAGGCAGTCAGGCCAGCTTGGATGTAGTGGAGGGATGGGGGCCCCTGCTAGACGTGAAGACAGGAAACCTACAGGAGGAGGGAAAGGGGCCTTGAATCCAGGAGCCACAGGGAGAGTAGCAGGTAGGCCCTGCTCCTCCAGCAAACCAGGCCAGGGCTCGGGAAGCAGCCAGCAGCTCCCACACCCGGGGGTCTGGAAGGCAAGACCACCTACAAGGCTTACGTTCGGCCACGCCAACTGAGAGAGAGCAGGGCAGGTGTCTGCACAGCATGGACCTAGCCCTGGGCTTCATGGGAAGTGAGCTCGGACAGCGGGGAGCACCAGCAGGCACACCGATCGTGAACAGGGCGCTGCCCCTGGGGAGGCTGGAGAGCCAGGACCGAAGGACAGCAGCAGAAAGGGGCCCCCCACCGCCTCAGCTGGGTGCCCCTGGAAGCTCCAGGGCAGGTGCACAACTCCTCCTCACTGGGCCCCAGCACAGCGACCCAGCCAGGGCCCTCCACCTCCATCTGGAGCTAACACCATCCAGGCAGCCCAGCCGGTACCCATGAAACACAAAATCTCTTGTCTGCCCCAGAACCCATGCCTAGAGTGTCCGAAAATAACACCATTTCAGAAGGCTTCAAAGCCCAGGAAGACTGGATGCCCTGGGGAGGAATGGGACCCTCTTAACGTCACGAGACAGTGGCAGGAAGGGCTGAGCTGGCCCAGCCCCACTCCGCAAAGCAAAGCAACCCAGCTGGCACAAGCTGGGCTTCTCACGGGCAGGGCAGGGTGCAGTGAGGAAGCCCCCCCCAGCCCCTGCTCCTTTCCTGGGCACTGGAGCTCCCCTGGCAGGAGAGTGAGACATCTACACGCAGGTTTGCACCCACACAAACATGGGTTCAGTCAGGACCTGCTCCGGCTCCTGTTGGCACTCTGGGAAGATCACTGCCCACTCTCACCTCATCCCACCACCAGTGGGGAGGAGGCAACCCCGTCATCACCGCTCAGAGGAGGCTGAGCCACCCCCAGGCTGCTCCAAGCCTCACTTCCTTCTTTCTCTGCTCTGCAGGCTCGGGGAGTTTTCCTTCACAGGGGTGCCAACTGCTCCAATTACAAAATGATTTTGTCTTCTAGGTGAAGCTCATTGTATCTGGCTGGCAGTGGTCAGAAGCCTCAATGGAGCTCAGATGGCATCGGCAAATGTGCCGTGTCTCTCCTGTACCCAGCGTGTCCAGGTCAGTGCTCCCACAGCCCTATCAGGAAAGCCAGATGGCATTTATCTCTAAACCCACTGCTTTCCCCAGCTGTGGATGCAGAGATTGGATAGCCATGCCCCAGGCACAGGCATCCGAGGAGCCTCAGCTCATAGCCTCTGTGCAAAGAATCCGGAGGACTCGGCCAGCTTCCTGGGACACCCTGGCTGGGGGGCTGGGCAGCGGAGGCCCAGCGGAGGCCCAGAGAAGGCAGCACTGCTTGGGGAGCTGTCTCCACCTCCCGGAGTTCCTATGCTCTCACAGGACCTGCCCAGCCCAGGTGCAGGTGGAGGCGGTGGCCAGGACCTGTGGGATGCAGGGAGAGTCCTGACTCTTTCCTGGGAATATCGGTGTCAATACCTTGATGAGCCATTGTGACCCGTCAACCTCTGGTTTGACCTGCGGACCAGACTCCTCATCACCGTGGTATGTCACAGTCTGCCTGGATGTTGACAGGGCTCCCGCACCAGGCCAGACAGATTGAGCCAGAACAGTCACTTGCACCATATCTGCACGTCACCACGTTGAACCAGGTCGTTGAGCTGGCCTTCCAAGAAACAGAGAGCCAGCGAAATCCCCAAAGGGGCTGGCTCTAGCCTACACTTGTTTAACCTTTAAAACAAGTAATCTGGAAACAGCCCCTCTGCCTTTTTGTTCCCTTGGAGGGGAGAAATCCTAGGATCCTAGCCACCTGTGTGTCACCTCCACCCAGAACTGGTCATCAAGGTGCCTCTGACAGCTCTGCTGGCCACAGACGGTGCTGATGTCCCCTGCGGAGCCAGAAGGCACCCGGGACAGGTGCCTCGGAGTCTGCGTCAGGTCCCCCGGCCAACCCCAGGGTTGGACCCTGCCCTTTTTGCATTGAACCCTGGCGTCATTGTGACTTTTAAATCCAGAGTCCACATGTGCTGGGAGAGGACAGATGACCTTTCGGGATTTGCGGTGGCTGATGAGTCACTGGCCAGAGTGGAAACGGAGACAAAAAGCAGGACAGGTCCTGTAGGGGAGGCCTCAGGTTCGTGACTCAGGTGTTAGACAGAAACTGACAGTAAATGCCGGCAACTGCAGTGCGGGCTGTGAACCCCAGCTCTCGGAAATCCATGAGGAATGCTGTCTTCTCCCTCTGCCTGTGTCTTGTGCTCACTTGGGGGGAAATCATTGCCAGGTCAGACGGGAGAACCTCAGAGCCAAAGCTGCTAGCAGCGTATTCGGGAGCTGTTAAAGTACTGAGCAGCAAACCAGACTCCTGAGCCAGGATAAATGGTTCAGCAACACAGGTCAGCAGAAAACCTCCTGCAGTGAAGGGACACCAGGAAAGCATTACAGGACGAACCCCTGCTGCCTTCATCTCATTCCGGATCCAAAGTGCAGTCCGGTCCTTTGTTGTATCAAAGAACCTGGGACTCTAATCTTCCTAATCTTCCGGGGACTCTAATCTTCCTGTTACACCTGCCTAAGCCCCAGGGCCTGCGCAATGGCCACTGTGGCTAAATCCTTGACTTGAATGAGCCTGGATCCCATATGGCGCCGGTATGTGTCCTAATTGCTCCATTTCCCATTTAGCTCCCTGCCTGGGAAAGCAAACGAGATGGCCTAAAGCCTTGGAACCCTGCACCCATGTGGGAAACCTGGAAGAAGTTCCTGGCTCCTGGCTTCAGATCAGCGCAGCTCCAGCTGTGGCAATCACTTGCAGAGTAAACCAACGGAAGAAAGATCTTTCTCTCTGTCCCTCCTGTCTGTAAATCTGCCTTTTGGCACAAACCAATAAATATTTAACAAAGAAGAGGAGGAGGAGAATTAAGGTCCTTTTCCATCCTGGACAAAGCAGCCACAGGTGCAGCTGCAGCTTGCAAGGCCAGCACCCCATACAGGACACCAGTTGGAGGCCTGTTTTTCCAGGTCATAAGCAGGGAGCAGGATGGGAAAAGGAGCAGCTTTCCCATATGGCATGCATGTGGAGGATCTGCCTATTATGTCACAGTGTTGAGCCTTGAAATAAATAAATCTTTAAGAGAGAGAGAGAATATTAAGCCCTGAAAGCTACAAACACAGAAGTGGTAAAAATCTTTCTTTTTCTAAAGATTTATTTTTATTTGCTTGAAAGGCAGAGTTACAGAGAGAGGGAAACATCTTCACTCTTCTGGACACTCCCCAAATGGCTACAACAGCCTGGGCTGCGGCAGACTGAAGCCAGCAGCCCAGAGCCTCTGTCAGGTCTCCTACACGGGCACAGAGGCCCAAGCACCTGCGCCATCTTCCACTGCCCTCTCAGGTGCACCAGCAGGGAGCTGCATCAGAAGTGGCAGAACCAGGCCTTGAATCAATGCCTGTATGGGATGCTGACGTCACGGGTAGCAGCCTAACTTGCTAAGCCACATTACTGGCCCTAAAGTAGTGAAATCTCATAAAAGATAATTTAGAAGTATGATGGCCTGTAGGTGGAACAACCCAGACGAACAACATCATGGGTCCAGCGTGACAGCCTAGTGGCTAAATCTTCGCTGTGAATACATTAGGGTTCCATATGGGTGCCAGTTCGTGTCTCGGCTGCTCCAGTTCCCACCCAGTTTCCTGCCTGTGGCCTGGGAAAGCCGCAGAGGATGCCCAAAGCCTTAGGACACTGCACCCACATGGGAAGAAGCTTCTGCTTTTGGATCAGCTTATCTCTGACCACTGCAGCCACTTGGGGGAATAAACCAGTGGATGAAAGATCTATCTCTTTGCATCTGGAAATCTTAATTTCCAACAAAAATACATAACTCTTAACAACAAAAAAAAGCTGTCATCATGGCACAGCAAACAAAGCCACTGCCTGTGACACCCGTGTTCATGTCCCAACTACACCAACTGTTCCACTTCAATCCTCCCCTCTGTTAACGTGTGTAGGAAAGCAGTGGAGGATGGTCGAAGTGCATGGGCACCTGCCACCCACATGGGAGACATGGATGAAGCTCCTGGCTCCTGGCTTCAGCCTGGCCCCCCCTTGGCCACTGTGATCATTTGGGAAGTGAACTAGTGGATGAAATACGTCTCCCCCTCTCTCTCTGTCTCCATTCTCTTGCTCTCTGAAACACTGATGTTCAAATAAACAATGAAGTAAACCTCTAAAAATTTAAAAAAAAAACATGAACATGTGGGAGACCTAGACTGGGTTCTAGGCTCCTGGTCTCTCTCTCTTGCCATAGAATATATATATCCCTACCTTTCAAATACATTTTGAAAAATAATTGTTA